AACATTGAATTAAAAATTACTTGTTTTTATAACTTCCCTTTTTGAATTTTGCACCTATAAGGTAGCATTTTAAGTTTCTTAATCTTTAATTTTACCTCATATAATGTTAGGAATATATTTGTAGTTTATTTTTAACTAGTAATTTCTACAACAGTATGGTTAGTTTTCAACATCAAGGCCCCTCTGGATACCATTCCTAGAGCTGAATGGGTTACCCTGTATAAATAAAGTTTATCTCTCTATCTATCAGTTGGAGTCATAACAAATCAAGGAAATCTCCTGACTATGTAATGTGATTTATTTCAGGAAAGAGTGGAATCTTTGAAATTACTTATACTCAAGCTGATGACTAACACATTATTTCTTATTCATTTCTGTTACTGGCAGGGCAGCAAGGCTAAAGTCCAAAGAAACCCAAACAAGGCTAATTGTTTGTTTGTTTGTTTGTTTTAAACATTAAATTTAGTTATCTTATAAGCAATAATTAAATGAAAAAAGATTTCCCATACTTTTATGTAATTCTTTGAGTTGAAAACTAGGCGACAAAGATGATAATGTCACAGTAGACCCATCATCAATTCAGTTATAACGAGGATGTTGTCCCAAGAAACCCAAGCAAGGCTAATTTGTTTTTAAAAGAAAACATTAAATTTTAGCAATCCTAGAAGTAATAATTAAATGCAAAAAGATTCCCCATACTTTTATGTCATTCTTTTAGATGAAAAGTAGGTGCCATAGGGTGTGTTAAGGGGTTAGTTTTAAGTGTCAGTGCCAGGTACCACAAAATGATCAGTTTCAGTCAACGAAGTTGATAATGTAAATTGGCCACAGTAGACCCATAATCAACTCAGTTATAATGAGGATGTTGTAGATATGCTTTTTATTGCCTTTTTATGCTGAATAAATTTTAACACTGCTGTGTTATATTTGTGTGAATGTACTTGAATGCTTTTATGCAAAAGAATAAAACAAGCCAATGGTTTGGTGACATTTAACCCTTTCCTTCTCCACCCTGAGCATTCATGTTTTCCATCCTGTTCTCCTCACATTCCCGATGATACTGACAAGAATTGTTTTTGAGAATAAGGAGCTTTTTAAATTGGTGATCATTTCCTTTATTCTCATAACCTGTATGTTCAATTCAAGGGTGATAATGTAAGGAGAAATTAGATACCAGACACTCTAAGGTCTACAGGTTAACCTGCCTACTTTTTACCAGAGGAGTTGTTCATTTAAGGAGTGACTTGGTCATGAGTAACTTGTTGTGAATGAGTTGGGGTATGCAAACCTTGAGACAGTTGGGATGTTAAAAAATAAACACCAAGAATGTCGAGAACATAGCAAGAAAATTTGTTCTTTATGGAAAATAATAAAGAGCAAGATTGAATGCAACACTTCATAAGGTTCTGGCTCAAAGTTGAAGCCACATCCTGTTTGAAAGGAATTACTCAAAGTACTTTATTTTTCCCACTGTTCCCCCCATGTCAATTCTATATTGTGTCATTTTGGTATTATAAATTAACTTGTCAACTGTTTTTGTCTCTAACCTGTGTAATATTTTTCAACATTGACCCACGAGATAACCTGCATAACTTTGTCAAAAATAATTGTAGCATTCACTTTATTTATTCCAATGTTCAAATCTTTTAGTGGTAGCTGACCTCTGACTGAGAAATCATGTCTTACCACCTTGCTGTTTGAGTTGCTATAAAAGCTGGATAGCTTAACCCTTTAACTCCTAGAAACTCCCAGATTAAATTTGTAGTCCTCCTCACTGTCAACCACACAATTATTATAATCTTAGTTCAGAGAATTTAATATTGGATCAACTTATTATTCCCAAATTGATAGTTTACTTTATTCTTATCACTTATTTGGTGGATATTGTTTTGATATTGTTATGAGAAATTCTGTCTTGGTCACTGATAGGAGTTAAAGGGTTAAGGGTTACATGTCCTGCCACCACAACTGTATCTGACTTGTTTTCACCCTCACATCTTACACATTACTTCTTCCCATGAGCTGACAGCCTGCTCTAGAGTGTGCTAGCGTAAGCGTCATGAAACCTTTCATGAAATTTCTTAACTGTTTATGAACAAGAAAAGAAACATTTTCTTTTGAAAAAAATTTCTTTGGACCAGTTAAAGTTCCAAGAGAATCAAGTTCCAAGTTTGAAGAATCAAACTAAGTTCCATTACAAGAGAAAAGATTTACTCAAAAACATACACTTTTATTTAGTAGGGCATTTTCCAGTCACAATTTTCTTCAGAAGACATAACCTTCAGCTTGCATGGCAAACAGAAAACAAAACATAGTATTCAATTACAATGCAACACTACATGAAAAGATGTCAAAATGCTGGGTGTAATACTGAAAAAAACAGAAAGAAACTTTCCATAATGGAGTTCTGTCTATCCTCAACCCTTCAAATCCTTAGACATTATTGTTAATTTCCCCTCTAACTGCCACACATTTCCTTGTAAACTACTGTAGTTTTGAGAAATTGGTTTTAGATCAAGATAAGAAGTAGTTGAGAAGTTTGAGTATACATCTTACCTGATTGTGAGATAATGCATAAATATTTAAGGGAGAGGTTTCATCTTAATCACTGTTGGGAGTCAAGGAGTTAACACATACATGCACAGCATAAGAGGCTGTTTTCTTTTTCTCATCAGGGTTTGTTTTTTTTTTGAGCAAGCCTCAAGTCCGGACCAAAATATTGGAGCTCAAAAAAATTCTAGTGAGACTATCTTAGCCGCTATGATTGATATCTGGACTGTATGTTGAAGAGCTCATGAGGAAAAGTACTATGATATAGCTATGATTACTTTATACCAGAAGTTCCAAAAAGTGATTTGAGGTTATTATTTTTAATAAGCCATATAAACATTTATTTCTTTCCATGTGAGTTTCTGAGCTTCATCAAAATTAATTGACTTTCACTAAGAGGGGAGGGGTAACATGAGAGACTACTTCTGTTCATGGTT